TTCCCTATTAAAAAAATAAGGCCTGAGATATTGCAGTGAATTTTCAGGAGTTCCACACATGTGGATCAGATATGAGGTGGATACACAGAAAGTATTTAAAATATCAGTCTTATTCAGTGTCCTCCCTGCCCCAAATATGCACATCAGTATGAGTGATAAAATTCCTAAATTCCTAAAGTTATCAGCTGGCACTAAATAAAGGACAAACACAATTATAGTCAAATGCCCATGATTAAATACCTTTCTTCTGAACTCTCAATCTTTACAAAATGGTACCAATAGCAATGAAGGGTTCAATCAGGAAAGTAGGGTAATCCATGGATCATAGCAGATTCACACCAATTTCTTCACATTATATACTAACAGTTCTAATAAGTAAAAATAGAAATTTAATATTATAATAGTAGCTGTTAATATTTATTGAGCATGTACTATATGCCAGATGTGATACAGAATGGTCTGCACATATGATCTCACTTAGTATTTTTAACAGTCCCATGAGTTAGGTACTGTTACTAACCTCTTTTTACAGATCAGGGCACTGAAATACTCTAAGATTCTCAGGTAGCTAGTTAATAAGGCAGAGAAATGGACTAATAATATTATACTGTAAAATTTTCAAATGCAAAACAAAATAAGACTTTTCTGATTAAAAATCATTAATCAGAATCTCCTAATCCCTCGGCATCTCTTTTAATCAGGATGTTCTCTTCCTGCAGTATATTCTGTCTTTATCATACTATTCAAATGATAGAGATGCATTTAACATCTAATTATTTTAAGTAATGTTGATATAATCAGCATCAGAACTTTAAGTTGTGGCATTAATTCTTGATTATCAGCTGTCAAGTCTTTACTGTAATTACATGGGTTAATAGAGTGAGTCACTCACTCCTGTCCTATTGAGTACTAATTCATTCATTCAGTGCTCATTCTGTGCCAGGTAGGCATGGTAGTAGACCCCTAGGATACAGTTATGAAAGGGAGTGGAATGGAGACGAGAAAGAGAGAGAGAGGAAGAAAGAGAAAGAAAGAGGTAGTTCCTCCTTAGAATAACTTATAGGGAAAGTTTTTGTTTCAATTCACTAAGAATAACATAAGTATGTATCATAAATATGTATTTATTTTTCTTTCCAACAATCTTGTGTAGTGTTATAACTTCCCTTTATATATCATGAAACTAAGACTAAAAGGATTACATGGTTTACCAAAAGGACAGTCAGGATTTGAACCCCAATCTGTCAAACTGTTTCACTATACCTTTTTTTTTTTTTTTTTTTAGGTTTTTGTCATAGGGTGTGTGCATTCACTGAAGAGAGACAGAGAGAGACAGTAAGAGGGAAATTGAGAAATTACTCCCCAGGGGGCTTTGGCCAAGCTGCAATTCCTTCTCCTCCATTCTCCTCCTGGGATTTTGGGGGCACACACACACACATACACATGCCTGACGTGATTTTCAAGCCACCAGGTACAGGACTTGAACTGTGATTGGCCATGTGGGAGTCTAGTGCCTTAACCACCATACCATCTGCTGGCTTCTCTACTATTAATACACTATTTTATCTTCCAAGGAACATGTTTTAATCAGTATGGTGTTACAGAAAGAAATACCAGGAAAAGTTTTGGACTAGTCCACTAATCGTATTTGACTCTGAGATTACTCAGATCCAAGAAACATCGTCATTGGTAAATGTTATTAAAATCTATTGGTTTTGAAAATAGTTGGGTCATGTATAGCCGTTGATGTTTGTTTCTTTATTTCTGGTCACAGATTTAATAAGACATAGATACTATACAGTGAACAGGTGACTTAATATACAAAAGTAAGTTTCGAAACCAGCGGACAGTGTAATGGTTATGTCACTAGACTCCCACATAGTCAACTATGGTTGTAGTCCTGGACCCAGTGGCTTAAGCTCACATCGGGTATGTGTGTGTGCATGCCCAAGAGACCTAGAGAAAAATTAAGGATAAGGGATTGTGGCGTGGCCATCCCCCCAGGGGGTGATTTCTCCCTTTCTGTCTCTCTGTTTCTCTCTGTCTCTTCAGAAGCACACAAACCCTATAGCAAAAATCTCTTTTAAAAAAGTAAGTTTCATTCTTTCACTTAGTTACTTACATGATGTAAAGGAAGAATATTTGACAAATCCCTGAAGACATTTAATGGAGGTGTTCCAAGCATAGTCTGATTGCTAAAGAAATAGTACTCGTTATGTAGGCTGAAAACATTAGCAAAGGAATACTCGTTATTAAAAACAATAATGTATTTGTGGGACACAGAAATGGTTTATTACCAGTTGGTGATGACATGTATAGTTTTCTCAACTGGACTGGTCTGAGGTGTATTTCATGCTGCATAAATTCCCTTTATAAGCTAAATGATGTATAGTGATTGAATGTATAAAATAATAAAATACATTTAAAAAAGAAAATGCATATTATAAAAAAATTAAAACCAGTAATGTCATGTCATTTTGTTAGCATCTTGGCATTCATTTTACTGCAACTTGATTGATTTTTTTTTTGTTTTAATTGCCAAAGAGTGCTTGTACTTGGCAGATAGAGAAACAGAAAGAGAGAGAAAGAGAAAGTACCCCTCAATTGGGCATGATTATGCCATAGTCCCTTATTCTCCATTTCTCCATCCTGTCAGAAATTTAGACATGCACGAACATGCCCAGTGTGTCTTTCAAGCTTTTAGGGCCAGAAGTCAAACCATGATCAACCATGTGGAATCTGGCTTTCTTAACCACTAGGTTATGGGGCCTATCCAAAACTTGATTGATCTTTATCTGACCAAGCTTTTCATTGACATTTTGAAACCTTACCTATAGAAAAAATTGGGAGATAAAGAATGAGCCATTTCAGGTCACCCTGATTCCCCTTTTGGTAGGGTTAGAGAATCAGTAGAGAAAAGGCTTAGAGATGCCCTAACTTTGGGATTTAACAAAGCTTGCATTCCACATTTCATGAAGTTTTAATTTAAATGCTTGAAATTCTAAATGCTGCTGTTGGAGAAGTAAGAAACTATTTCTTCTTGCCCTTGACTGAACCATGTAAAACGGTTTGCCATTTTATGTGATATCGCTGTGACTAGTAAGGTGACCATGCTTCTGATCTCATTAGAAGAAGATGAGATTGACACTGCCTAAATCTAGGTTATAACTCCCATCACTCCAGCTACTAAATAACCTCACAATTTCTGTCTTTGTTTCCTTTTCTCATTTGCCATTGAGTCTGCTTTTCTTTTTTGGAAACCTCTATATTATGACTGGAAGTAAGTCTGACACTAAGATAGTATAATGATTATATCTGCCTCAGTTCAACACACCTTGTAATGAAGGAGTTGAAAAAAGATAGGAGACAATTCAAGGAATATGTACGCCAAGTTTTTTTTTTTTTTTTCCAAAGAAAGAACAGGTTCAACCATAGCCACATTTATAGAAGGGTCCTATCTCTTCAGGGAGGAAAATAAAAGATAATTGCTAGCTTGTGTCCCAAAATGTTAAAGTTTTCACAGAAACAGGAGCAGCCTTACAAATGACAGAGCCACTGTCTTATATTTTAATTCTGTACTTGTCAACAAGATCATAAAATTTACAGAGGGCAACTCTCTTTAAGGAATTTGCCTGTTACTCCTAGGCTCTTAAGATTTAAAAGATTTTTTGCTAGTGGCTCATATAGTAAAAACTGAAGAGGATCCGAGTCCTTAATGGAATCTGGACTTTGGCTTTCTTTTTCTTCTTTAGGATTGAATCAACTGCCCTTTGACCCTGCCAACAACAACGAGCCCTTGCAGTTTGGTAGTGCCAGCGGCCCTCTGGTCACAGAAGGCCTCATTGAGAATGGAGGGGAATCAAGCAAGAAAAGAAAGAGAACAAATGCTCCTTCAGGTAAGCTAGGTGATAATGCACTGTCTTAAGTCAGTGCTAATGGCTTAGCATTTCCCCAGACCCTTGTATGTGGTGGTTATGGTACCAAGACTTGCAGGAACTACAGAAATGAGAGCGTCCTTTGCCCTCATGGAACTCATGAAGGGATAGAGAAAGGAAAAAAGTAGATATACAAATAATGTATCATAAAATATTATCAGTGCTTTGGTAAATGTATAAAAGGAAAAGGCCTGTGGGAGCACAAATAGGGGAGAATTTTAATTCAGCCTTAGGGATTATGGGATGCTTCATGCAAAAGTGACATTTTAGCTGATCCTTCCTGAATTGTTAGGCATGATACAAGAGAAGATAAGGAAAGAGCATCAATTTAGGTAGAAAGGTTTGTGTGATTGGTTTCATTGTACATTTGCCTTCATATGTGTGTGTGCCAGGCTGCTCTCACTTTTACTTCTAATACAGGTAATTGCATATATTTCATCTTCCCATGGTCAACTCTGTCCCCTCAAATACACTTCGCCCACATGGGTTTTATGCCCTTATAGTTTTATAACAACTGGCAAACAGTCTCCTAAATATTATATAACAACCAATTGAAATTTTAGCCTCTCCTGATAGCCCCTCACCTACCCCAATCCCTCCTGTCTCATTGGCCCATTCTCATCTTAAATTTCTTCAAAAGGTATGGGAAACCAGATCTTAATTGGAAAATCCTATCTTTTTTCTTAGGGTTTTTTATTAGTTTATTTTGTTTTTGTTTTTGTTTTTGTTTTTGCTATGAGGCACATGTGCTCACCAGAGAGAAAGAGTGAGAGGGAAAGTGAGAAATCATTCCCCAGCTGCAATCCCTTCTCCTCCATTCTCCTCCTGGGATTTGTGTACCCATGCACACATGCCAAGTATGATTTTCAAGTCACCAGATCTAGAACTTGAACCATGGTGGGCTATGTGGGAATCCAATGCCTTAACTACCTCACCACCCGCTGGCTCCTGGAAAAATCATACCTTAACTGACCACTTGACATCTTGATGTTTCATCTTTTGTTGCCTGGTCATTCATCTGGAAATAGAATCCCTGATAAAGAGACTGATCTGAAATTTAGAGATGGGCTTAAAAAATATTCAAGTCTTTTATTTTAATTTTTACTGTTTTACTTTTAGCTTGTGAAATGGAACATGTTTGCAAACATACAATAATCATACCTGGCTCTTAAGTCATAGATTTTTCTGCTCATGAATCAAGACGTTTGTTAAATATGAGTTTGGAAAACAAAAATACAATAAAATATTAGCTAAATGGAGCCCTCAAGAGAAGGGACTCAGAGAGCTGTGTTTTCTGGAGTATAGAAAGGGAGCATGTGTAGCTAAGAAACTGGCCTGAGTTCTAATCCTAGCTCTCTGTAGCCTAAAGTTAGTTGCTTAATCTCTTAGTTTCACTTTCTTCCACTGTAAAGTGGAAGTTACACTGGCCTCTTAGGATTATTATGATGATTATTTGAAATGATGTCAATAAGGAGTTTAGCATAGTATCTGCACATAGTAACCGCTTAATAAATATATTCTTATCATCATTACTGTATGATAATATTATGATCTTAATCTTTCTATGCATCAACGTATTTTACATTTTTAGGTTAGCCCTATGGGTATAAATTGTGTGTGTATAAACTTATCTGCTTATTTATTTAACTTTTTTTTGGAGAGGTTTTTTCTATAGGGCTCCTATGCTCTCCAGAAAGACAGAGAGAGACAGAGAGACAGAAAGCAAGAAATCGCCCCCCAGGGGGAATGACCATGCCACAGTCCCTTCTCCTCTGTTCTATTCTCAGGATCTTGGGCACGCACGCACATGCACTCGGCATGAGTTTTAAACCACCGGGTCTGGGACTCAAACCACGGTCAGCTACATGGGAGTTCAGCAACATAGCCATTACACCAACTGCTTATCTCATAAAATTTATTTAACTTTATTTAGTTATTTATTTTTTCATGTTTGACCAGAGAGAGAGAGAGCAAGAGCAAGTGAGAGAGAGAGAGAGAAAGTGAGAAAGCAAGCCACCGGGTCTAGGACTTGAACCACAGTCGGTCATGTGGGAGTCCAGCGCCTTTAACCACCATGCCACCTGCTGGCCCCCTTATCTGCTGTTTTAATGCACAAAAACATAATTTAAACTTTGCTTGATTACTTAGGGGGCATAATATCAGTCATTAGTTATTGTACTACACTCTAATTCTCAATTATAGTTTTCTGAGTTTACTAAGGAATACAGGACTTTTATTGCTACACTAAATTGTCCTGGACTATGGTAGTTTTTTAGTTATTGCAGCCATATTTTATACATGCCCTGTCTTATTTCTGCAGCCTGCAGTCATGTCTTACTCCTCTCAGTGTCCCTTCATGTAGCAGCCCTTTTTCTCCTGCTGATCAGTTATGAATTAAAACAAATCAACAGAGACACCACACCAGCTCCTTCTTGTTCAAGTGTCAGATTAGCATGTTAAGTAAGAGTTAAATCAGGCGTAAATGGAACTTGCCATGGATAGAATATGCGAGGGTTAAAGTGTCAACTTGAGAACATTTGTTTTGGCTGCTCTAAGACCTTTTGTGATCATTTATTCATTTTCCCACTGTATTTATGATAAATGATGTACTAGTTTTGGACAATATTTGCTAAGCCATAGTTAACTCATGAGGGTGGAAAAAGGGTATATGCACTAATCTTAATTGTGAACTAACTTTAAAGAATGGCAGTTTTATTTCTAATGAACGTATTTAGTAAGAGCAAAGTAGCTACTGCAGATATAGGAATTTAACAGTAGATTACGCTAATCTATAATTAGCAGAATCAACTTGTATTCAAATAATGCATATGCTGAAGTTCTTAAAAAACAGTATGTTCTTTAAAATAGGTGAAATAAGCCCCTAGCAGGCTAAATTAGTTCCCTTGATGTCTTGTTCACACTATTTGCCTAGTGAACCATGTTTTTGTAAGAGTACAAAGGTAACTCCTGCTTAGGTTAAATTGCCACAAATTCCAAATTATTCTAGTCCAAATTAATGAGTTTTTACTATACAGCAAGTCTCATAATTGTTCAACTGAACATCTTGTGATATTATAAATGGGTAGATTGCTTTCTAGTATTAGTTTCTTCCTCTGCAGTGCTAGACAAAATGAAGAGGGAAGCTGTCTCCTGAAAAGGAACTTACTTCCCTCTTTCTTTGTCACTATTCCCTGCATTGTGGCAAGAGGGAAGTCCTTATAGGAGCTACCAACCATTTAGGCTCTAAACTAAGATTCATGTCCAGCCATTGCATCACTCAACCATTTAACTCCCTTGAGTCAAAACCATCTCACTCCCTCTCCTTCACTGCAGATGAAGGAGGGATCTTTGCCTGCAGTTCCAGTTCCTCACTACACATTCTTTTTTCCTTCCTTTCACATCCCTTCTCCTTTGCCCCCTTTCTACAAACTGCCTCTCTTTTGTTGAACTAAGACATATTTTTCAAATGTTACCAGTGACCTCCAAGTTGTCATAGTCAGCGGACTTTTGGCAGACATCAGCCACCTTAACTTCTTTGTTTCATTTTATGCTATTAACAACCCCACCCACCCCCTTTTGCTTTCCTTGACAATACACTTTTTAGGTTCTTCCTTTTCTGTCTTCACACATTTTTTTCTGATTTTCTCCCTCTCTCCACTGTGCCTGAACTATTATCCATATTATAGTTGAAGAAATAAAGGTTAAACTTATCCAAGGTTGAATGTCTAGCAGGTAGTTTAACCAAGCCTCCAATTCCAAAGCTGATTTCTAACTATTTTTTTTAGACGTTTTTGCTATAGGGTGTGTACGTTCACCAGTAAAACAGAGAGAGACAGAGAGACAGAAAGCGAGAAATCACCCCCCAGAGGGGATGGCCATGCCACAATCCTTTCTCCTCCATTCTCCTCTCGGGATCTCGGGCACACATGCACACGCGCCCAGCATGAGTTTAAGCCACCAGGTCCAGGATTCAAACCACAGTCGACTACGTGGAAGTTCAGCGACACAGCCATTACGCTAACTGCTGGTCCCTGATTTCTAACTATTATGCCATAGTTACTATGTCTGTAGATATCAGGAATCTATAGATATTAATATATTTTACTGAATCATTAATCTACAGTACTGAAATGTATATTAAGCATTAGTGGCAGACCAGGGAAAACTGTATTTGTGTAAAAATAAATAGGATAGAATAAATCAAGCGGAGCATTGATTTGATCATCTCTAAGATCCCTTCAAATGCTGAGATCCCATGGTTCCCTCTCTTCAGCTTTCTTTTCTTTTCTGCCATTCTCCTAAATAAGTCTTCAGAGGTATTTCAAATAGTTTGTGGGAAAATGGAATTAAAGTACAAGTTTTCTTGACACAAAATTTTTTCCAATCTATGCATTTTTTTCATAATAAACATTTTCCATAAACTTTGTAAGATGTCTCATATTTTGTCTAGGCTGATCAGCCTCCAAATGTACTGTGTTCATCTACCTCAGTGCCTTGCTCATGCCATTTATTTACCTTGCCTAGTATGTTTGCCCTCTTCTCTCACCTGTCAAAATCTCATCCAATTGACAGTGTCTAATACAAGTCATGCAGATCATCCTATATAGAAGCATTCTCTTGTACCTTGAAATTCCCTGGTCATTATATTCATATGACACTGATAATGGGCCACCTTGAACCACTGGTTATCTGTTCATGCCTTAGCCTTTTACCTCAGTCACCAGCCCCTTTTTGGAAGGGTCCAAACTCATGTGTCTTCAAGCAGAGATATGGTATCTTGCACAAAGTAGATGCGCAACCAATATTTTTTTATAGATCATGTATTTGGGTAAAGATTTTTTTCTCCTTTTGCCTGTATGTTCTTTGTTATTGTCTTGTCACTCCCAAGGTGGAGCTTGGCACAAAACTGAGCACTTGTCATCTGGTGTTGATCAAGTGGCAGTCTCTCTTGTCCCTAAGTC